AGTCCCTTATCCTTATGATAAAATCTATAGCTCTTTGAACCCTCAGGGTGTCCTATAAAATTACAAACTAGAGTTTTAGTTTTTAATTTATCTCTTTGTTAATTGGGATTAGAAGATGTGTTATTGACCCCCATTTCTTTAAGTTGCTTAGATAAGGTCTTCTATTAGTCGACAATTCATAAGGGTTAGACTTTATAGCCTTAGTTGGAAGCCTATTAAGTATGTAAATGGTTGTGCTCAGTACTTCTCCCCAAAAGGTCTTGGGTAGACTAGTATGAGCCATCATGGATCTAGTCATCTCTAAGACGGTTCTATTACGCCTTTCAGGCTATACCACGTTGCGGTGTATAAGACACAATGGTATGTCTTTTAATACCATTCTCTTTGCAAAAGGTGTCGAAGGCTTCTAATGTGTACTCACCTCCCCTAGAGTTCTAACAGCTATGGTGTTCCTATTCAATTGGTTTTCTACTTCCTTTTTATATAATTGAAAATTTATAAAGCTCCTAACCTATGGTGCATTAAGTAGACATTTCCAAATCTCAAAAAATCGTCAATGAAAATGATAAAGTATGAAATCCCTCTATGAGTTTTAACATTGAGAGACCTACAAATGTCCGAGTGGACCAGATTCAATAACTCACTGGCTCTCTCCCTTTTCTTGAATAGTTTCCCAGTCATTTTTCTGGCAAGCAGTACTGACATGTTGGAATTCTACATTAATTAAAATTGGAATGAGACCTTTCTTTATGAATTATTTATTTTGTCTTTCCTATGTGATTTAACCTAATATGTCAAGTGTATGCATCAACAACCATTGCACAATCAAGATAATCAAATGAGAGGAAACTTTATTATCAATATTCTCATTTAGAGGGAGAAGGAATAGGTTGTGCTCATCAACCAAGTGACCCCAAGCATAAATTTGTCCACACTTTCTAATTGACACTCTCAATGATCTAAAAGACTTCAAAGCCCTTTCGAATAAGTAGAGGACATACATAATATTTCACCTCATACTAGGCACAACATATACATCAGTTAGAACAAATTCCTCATGATGGAAATTATAGATATTTGTCATGAGTGGCATATCCACGAAAGCGTGAGAAAAACCTCATGACAAAATATTGTTATAATATTATACTTAAAATTGAAGTGTACCTATCAAAAATAATTGCACTCAGCCCTCATGGTCAAGTGGGAGATGTTGTGTACCTATGAAAAATAATTGTGCTTAGCCCTCATGGCCAAATGGGAGATGTTGGCGCATGTGTCCATCGGGCCTCACGCTGCCTAAGCTATTTTCATGGGAGGAATCTCATGCGTGTATTTTCTTTTATGTTTATCCTTCGTTAAAACAAGTTCTTAAATTATAATATGTATATAACTAATTGTTTTCCAAAGTATTTTTTTAAATGGTCATATGAGATGAGGATAAGTATCCCTAATATTTAGGAGGTTGTTTCTCAGAGACTCGTTAAGAAAATAAAAGTCACGACGAAAATCACATAACTCTTGTGTTTTCAACAAACTTTCTCTCTCCAAACAAAAAGAAAAGGGTTCCTAAATTAAATATGGGCTTTGTAATCACCAGCCTCACGGGACACCCCCTCCCAAATCTGGGCTTCGCGCTCATCCTTGCTTCAGCAACACCTATTCTGATGTAGAAAACCAAACCGATATACCACGCCTTTGAACCTAAGCTGAGATGACACATGTAACCGAACTAACTCTTCTTTAATATCTAGTGTAGATATGTGTGTGTGTGTGTGTTACTTTTATGGTGACACTTGGTATCCTTAATCACTATAATTGATTTTTTATCTAATGCCACTCAAAGTAACTACTAAAGTTAAAGCAAAATATTCTTAAGAGAGATAAAAGCATTTATTAACTAATGTAGGAAATGACATCAAACCCATAAGATGTGACATCATCCACCATAGAATGTGACATCACTCACATGAAGCATTAATTGTAAACAATCTAATAAAATATTATTGTCCTCGTCTAATAATATCCATTCCGCCCATCAATAAGAAATATTATTGTCCTCTTATAAAAAAAGGGCCATAACCTGGTGCTGATCCCACCTAAGAAGGGTCCCAGGAGGGGTGAGCTGGAAACAGTCCTAACGTTTGGCTTATGCACAAAGTAGCCTCTCTCAGGGCTCGAACTCGTGCTCTTGCTCTGGCTACCCGAGCCTTTTACCATCACACCAAGTGATGGCCCCTTATAATAATATCTATTCTATCCCTCATTAATAAGTAAAAAATGTCCATAATTGAGTGCCTAATGAATTTTACATAAGTTAAAAGATATTTCATAATGAGAATAGCTCAACAAAACCCTAAACTAATAATAATCGTAGTAGTAATAAAAATCATGTGTAACATGGAAAATAAAAGCAAGTCAATTTCCATAAAAATTGACAGAAGATGGGATCATAGTGTCCTCCACCTACCATATGGAGACGTTCGGACAATATATCCTATGGAAAAACCTAACTAAAAGCATAGAATGCCAAGTTTAGATTTTTCATGAGAATAAATCAAAAGCTAGAACCAATGCACAGAGGACTAAAGAGAAATGACTAAGGATAAAATAGTAAATAGCAAAAGAATTTGATGCTTAACTATGAAAGAAGTTTATATAACTAAATGGATTAAAATTACAATAAATATAAGTCAAACTAAGCAGACGGTAGCACAACATTGCATAAAAGCCTTCAGTAACAATAAGAACTTATATAGAATAAAAACTAAGGAATAAGGATAACAAAAATGTCAAAAAAAGAACTATAGAAATCATACTTTGGTAAAACAACTAAAATGTCACATTTTACAAAAGATGCATGACAAATCGATCATTTGACATGAATCACCATGACCAACTTACATTAGGGTAGGAATAAATCTCTGCCTTTACATCAAAAGCAATTACACAAAAGGATGGAACATAACCATACATGACAAAGGTCTTATTATAGCAAAATGAGATCAAGCTTCTATATCTACTTGAAAACTAAATTCAATACAAGCTTTCTCCTCTATCGAGTGATAGAGAAATGGAGGAAAGTGAAAATATCAAACAACTTGAGACAAAATCCGAAACCTTAAACCTCAAAAGCTCTATATAAATATCCTAGCACCCATACATCAAAACTTTAAGAATTATAAGAATGAAAAACAATAATGTTAGGAAACCATTGCTATAATTTGGGGATTTGCTAGGTTAGTTAGATACTTGCCTAATTTGAAGAAATTTGAATAAATGGGTTAGTCAAATTAGGTAGTTTTTTATTTGAATAAGTTTGCTATCCATTTGAAATGGGAATGAGCTGTTGGTACGGTTTTTAGGGATGGGTTTATGGGAAAGTGCATGATATATAAACATGAGTGTCAATAATGAAAGAACCGAGAACCATTTCCTTTAGTTTTGTGAGTGTTGCACAAGGAGGAAGATCCCCCTTGACGAGGATAAAACTTTGTCACTTTCGAGATCTTTTGGTTGTTGAGTATGGTCTTGCCTAGCAACATCGTATGGTATTAAAACCTTAATGGAAAAGCTTGAGGGAGAAGTGCAGTAACCTTAATGGAAAAGCGTGAGGGAGAAGTGCAGCAACCGTCAGGGCTGCAGCTGAGATACGTGAGAACCTCGCCGCCATGAGTCTTCAATATGAGCGGCTAGCCTCTTCAATGCTTAAATATGCAAAATGCAATCAATCGATCAATCAATAGAGGGAGGACCGAGATGGAGGCATCAAATGGAGAGGGATACCTCGAACTACAAATGGTCGAACCCCAATACACCTATTAAGATTTTCCAAAATTTTGCAATGATGATCCAACCGGGTGGATCTGTCGCGTGAAGCTATTCGTCAAGTTCCATAATACGCCAAAGGAACAAAAGGTTCTCTTGGCATCCTTCCACAATGAAGGAGAAGCTGGCATCAGTAGTGTGAAAAGATGTAGACAACACTGACATGGGGATGTGGACAACACTGATATGAGCTGATCTAGTTAAAGCTAAATGTGTCCATTTGGGCCCCAAAGACTGTGAAGATTTTCAATGCAATCCTCTCTAAATTAAGACAGACGGGAATAGTTCGGGAATATCAAACTAAATTTGGAGCGGTTGGCAAATCGGGTGACAGAAAAGGCTTTGATTGAGTGCTTTATCAAGGCTTAAAATATAAAATCAGGATCAAAGTACAGATGTTGGGGCCAACAACACTGACGCCACAATTGGCCCCACACATATGCAAGAAGAGAACTACAACGCCTAACCTCAACAGAAAAAAATCAATTCAACATGCAGGAAGCTACCGTACCCTCGGAACCCCTAGGATTAAGAAATTGACCTGGGCTGAGATGAAGGAGAGTAGAGATACGGGCCTCTGCTATAATTGTGATGAAAATTTCATACTGAGCCACATGTGTAAGTCTGGACAACTGTTTATGCTGGACGGTGATGCCTATTGGGGAGGATGATCAGGAAGGGTAAATTTCCATCCTTGAGAACAAGGTAGATTTGATAAAGAAGGTGGAATGTTAGGAAATTGTAAATATAATTTGGGGATTGGCTATGGTAGTTAGATAGTTGTCTCGTGTGAATAAATTTGAATATCTAAAATATTTCAAATTAGATCCAGAGGTTATTCAAATTGGGTAGTTTCTTATTTGAATAAGTTTGTTATCCATTTGAAATGGGAATGAGTGGTTAGTATGGGATTTAGGGATGGTTTATTGAACAGTGTTTAATGTATAAACATGGGTGTAAATAATGAAAGAACAGAGAACCATTTAGAGAGATGGAAGAAACTAAAAATGAACAAACCCATTCTGAGATTACCCTAGAAGACCATGATCTATTTCCTCAAGACCTAAGATCATGCGTTTCATACAAACTATATTGAATGATGTAGAAGGAAAGACGGAAAATACCTGAGCTGAGAGGAAAACAGAGCAGCCCATTTGGAGAGAGAGAAAGAGTACCTCTTCAGCTGAGAGACGAATCAATGCCTCTGTTCCCGCCGCCCTAGGGCCGAAGGATGAAAAGGTCTTGAACAGCAAAACCCTACATTGTTAGGCGTAAGAAAGTAAAGAGACTACACGCTGACATACGGGGAAAGTTCTCCATGCTTCCCCTACTGCATATAAGTTTTATCCTCCCACACCTTTTTAACCATTGATTTAAAATATGGATGGTTGAGATTCGTTCACTCAAATTGTCGCGCGAAACCCGGACCAAAAGCCCGTAGCAGGGAGAGAGTTTATTGGATGAGAGAGAAGACACGCACAGCGGATAAACCAGTGGGAGATAAAGAGAGTACGCACAGGTAAAAGTGGGGGAGAGGGCTTCTTGGAGGAGAGAGAGAGCACGCTTTTTTTTTTCCCACTTTTACCTGTGCGTACCCTCTTTATCTCTCATTGGTTTATCCGTTGTGGGTACCTTCTTTTTCATCCAAAAAACTCTCTTTAGTACGGGCTATTGTTTTATTGGTTTACCAGAGGAGCCCGTGCGAAGTTTTGTACGATAATTTGAGTGAACAAATCTCAACCATCCATTTTAAATAAATGATTAAAAAGGTAGAAGAAGATAAAACTTTTATGTCGTTAGGTAGCATAAAAAGCTTTTTCCGCTGATATCATATAGCTTTCGGTAAGAAAAAGGAGATTAACATACGGGTCCCTTTTTTGCAATTGAAAAGGGTCCCGTCTCTATGCGGCCAAGCCCGCATAGGTAGAAATACAAGCTTATTAATAAATGTATTTTTGAGATGGATTTTTGCACTTAAATTTTAAGGATTTGTAATCTCTAACATGGATACCATGAATAAAAATAAATAAATAAATTTTAAAAACTATAAATAATAATTCTAGCAAGAAAACATTTGGACCATCAGTTTCCATTATTAGATGGAACACCTACTTGCATCCATCTTTAAAATGGATGCTTTATATTTTATGGACCGCATATGTAGTCATGCGGTCCAGTGCGCATGCAATAATAATAGAATTGAAAAACACCCTAAATTTTTCAAATTTACAGGGAGGATCGGACTCAACCTGGGTCAGGGTATGGGTCCAAGAATTAGATCCTACAGGTCAAATCCAGGTTCAAATATTTAGGTTCGGGTCCCAGTCCATGTGGACCTGACTCAGGTCCGACCCCGAATAGTGTTATATTTCACATAACATTATATATTTTTTAATTTTTTGGGTTGGGTTCGGGTCATGGTCTGATAACTTCGAGTCCGGGCATTGGTCTGGATCCCAATTCTCCATGGTCCCCATCTTTGGACCAATTGAGTAATGCCCTGAACCTTAGGGCACAACTAGGGGTGGCAACAGGTCTGGTCCGACTACACAGGTTTTGGACCCATACCCATATCTATACCTGTTGGGTCCCAAGTCTATCCCATCAGTTCCTGGGTTTGGTCCAATCCATTATCACCCTCACTTTGAGCTTTTTCTTCTTCTTTTTTTGATCATGTGCTACTATCATATGTCTATATTATTGGCAACAAGGTCATAATCACCCCCCATTAAATTTCAAGCAATCTGATTTGTCGTTTAATAACTAAAGATGACTATGTGTTCTTATTGTATATGATCCTTAATACATCCAAATGAATAGGGCTTGAAATATTTTATCTCAAATAGTTTATGAATACGGGTAGGGTCCAATTGAATATGGACTTGGACCAAAGTAGTGTTTAGGTTCAGGTTTTGGACCTGAAACTGACCTGTCGGGTCCAAATATTGGACCCATACCCGGACTTGTGTCGGGTATACCCATCAGGTCCCAGATTGGGTCCAGGTCCATTGCCATCCCTATGTACAACCCTACTATAAAAAGCGATCCATTCTCGGACTGAAGGGCAATATGGAAAAATAAGTAAGAAACCACGCCAAGTAATACCCCGCATAATTTTCTACTCAATTAGACCCATTTTGTATTTTAATTACCTTTTTTGTGTTCGTACATAAATTATTCCTTTTATTTTACGAAGTTCAAAATAAAAAGGGCATTCAATTGGCCATTTTGTATGTCGCATCACTCTTTGTTTTCTCTTCTTTCTTGGTTTTTAGTTAAGCCTGTTTAGCACAACAAAAATCAATCCGGCCCAACTAAGATACAGACGCCCTCTCCTTCTCTTGGATTTTCTCAAAGGGGTGCGTGAACAAGCTAACCCCATACTTTTCTTATATATATATATATATATA